CAGCCATGCACCTGCCTACTCCTCAAACTCTGCCCAGGAGCTGCCTGTGTCCTTGTAACTCTCTTGTCTTCACTCAGCCTCCCAGATCTGTTTGAAGCTGTGCAGACAGCATTTTTCTCCTTTTGGTATTCACAACAGGCAGGGGTTTGATTTGATGTATTTTAAACCACATTAAATAAAGAGTCTGTTGCCTTAAAAAGAAAAGGGGTCCACATGAGGAGGAAATGGATTGTGCAGAAGACGGCAGGCAGGCTCCCGAGGCAGGGTTCTTTCCAGCTCTGCTGGGGTCTAGCGGCTGGACCACGGGCGGTCAGGTGGTGTGTTTTTTTGTGAGCTAACAGCTCGCTCTTGCCTCTGCCTCCTGCTGTAGGTGATCGCGGTGGTGATGGATGTGTTCACGGACATCGACATCTTCAGGGACCTGCAGGAAATGTGTCAGAGGCAGGGAGTTGCCGTGTACATCCTCCTGGACCAGGCTCTGCTCTCCCAGTTTTTGGACATGTGCATGGACTTGAAGGTTCATCCTGAACAGGAAAAGGTTTGTGCTCCGCGCTTCCCAGCTTCTCCGCAGTCAGCAGACGTTATGGAGCATTTGCTCTGGTGGTGTAGCTACTAACCAAACAAAGGGCCTCGGATGTCTGGTGGGTCGAGTCTACCAGCAGCTCCAAGGGAAAAAGATAGATGCTGTCCTCTCATGTGATTTACAGCTACCAGAAACCTGCTCGAGGGTTCGACCATGAGTCAGTTCTGACTCAATGCCAATGAGAGGTCTCTAAAGGCAGTGGTACAAGGGAGTGCACTGAGAGAGGGTCATCTACTCAAAGTCTCACTCTACAGAGGAAGCTAGGGAATCAGAGTTCAAAGCCTTGGCCTCTTCCCTGTACCGGGCTGCCTCCTGCCTGAGCAGAAACCACTCTGCTGTGATTGACACCTTGAGGCTGCCTTGGGAGCTGCCGCTTTTGATGACAGCCCTGGTAAGCCAAGCTGTATCCGAGGTATGGCAGGTATGGCACGCGCCCTGGGCCCCACTGGTAGAGGGGCCCCCCGAGGTATTTCTGTTCACCGTCACAGGCCCCATCTGTAGCGGTGCAAGGTCATTCAGCAAGTTGAAACTCATACTTTGGTATTTGAGAGTCTCCACGGGTCATGACAGGCTGTGTGATCTTCCTCTGCTGAGTGTAGAAAGAGAAGAGATAGGGAGACAAGGACACTTGAGCAAAGTATAGGCCAGTTTTCATCTGTGAGGGCAAGGAAGATGGGTTGTCATTTTCATGACGTACCATACGCTGTCAAGTAAAAGAACTGGCGCACTGCAATCCCAGAGGTACACGGTTCAAATCCACCAGATGCTCTGCTGGAGAAGGAGGGGCAGTCTCCTCCTGTACCTGTCAGATCCGCACACACACACACAGATGAACTGGCTTGACCTGTAGTTTTGAGCTGACATTATGGTAAAGTTTTCTAAAAGGGAGATCATATGTATGGACAGGGGTGTGATTTCATTGCTTACTGTATGTACTATTTTCTATAGATAATGCACTTTTGCCAATAAATTTCCAACTTTAATCATGATGGACGCCTTTTAGTGCAATATTACTCTGTCTCTGGCAGGGCCCTAGGCGCTTGACAGGTATTATGTAACTTAGTCCTCAAAGCCACCCGATCAGGTAAGTGACATTATCCTCGTTTTTTTTTAGATTAGGAAGTGGTGACACCAAGACTTCAGTGTGTACAATGACAGTATGCCAGGGCTAGAATTTGACTCTAGTGCCTGGGTCTCTAATCACTATCACACGAGCTTTGAATTTCTCATTATAAAATCTCTCCTGTCCTTTTCCCTGACCATGAAAGTAATTTGAGTTTGAGTTGATAAACATAAAACCGTACAACTTACCAAGTTTAGTATCTTTAGTTGAAAGAGGCAGGGAAAAGAGCCATCCTTATGACATGGCTCATTCGTCTAGGAATGAATTTAACGTGTGAGCTTTGGAACTTCATTCATCAAGTGTCTTGAGTACCTGCTAGGAGGCAGGCGCTGTGTGTTGGGTCTTAGAGAGAAAGCAGCAGGCAGAGCGAACACAGAATTTGAGCTGATATAGTACAGATCTGCCCTAGAGAGGGTGAAATCGGGTTGCTGTTTGGAAGCAAGGATTTTGAAACACCATCACACGTGCTTTGGGCATGTTGTCAGGATGGTCCAGTCCTTGGAGAAAGACATCATGCTGTGAAGGTCAGCATAAGAGAGGAAGACCCCAAATTTGATGGATTGACATAATGACTGTGGCAGTGGGTCAGGCGTGGTGAAGACAGTGAGGTTGGCTCAGGATGGGGCAGAGTTTAGAGCCATTGTTCATAGGGTCATTGTGAGTTGTACTCAACTTGAGGACACGTAACCACAACAACAGCAACACCTATACTTACAGACTACTTCACTGCACCCGGGGACACAGATTTACCACCTTGTAATTACTACACAGTTGGTTATTGACCATTTCCCACAGAGAACTTTTTGCTTTTCCCTCCCTAATGGGGACGAATTGACTCAGTGACTGGGGAAATGGCATTAGGTCTGTCAGAGACAACAAGCTTGGCTTAGGAGAGGGCAGGGTTCAGAGCTAACGTGCATAGAGTCACTGTGAGTCGCAGGCGACTCAATTGCACATAACACAACAACAGTGAAGAAACTGAGAATTGAGTTTAAGGCAGGTTCACACAGAAGCTAGAGTTGTTGCTTAGAGACCGACTTAAAGGAGGCTGCCAGGTGACCCAACAATCAGCTAAAAGCTGAGATCTGTAGACCGGGGAAAATGCAAGTCAGTCCTGGGGGAGAACATTACCATCTAGACAAGTTTTCAGCCCCTGACTGCTCTCAAATAGAGCCGGCTTGAAATTAAAGGTGTGGATGCGTAATTTCAGATGCTTTTTTTTAAAAATAATAATTGAGGGGAGGCAATGTACCAGCAGCAGAAAAATTACAGAACTGTAATTGTAACTGTTGTGGCAGCAACTTTGATCCGAGTTGTGACCAGTTCATCTACTGGGCAGAAATCTCGGGATGTCTGCTGCCCCTGGTGCCCCTGTGATTGCTGCTTTTCTGGGGTTTCCAAGTCTTCTGTGGCTCTGGGTCCAGAGGAGGCTTGTCTGTCCTACCCTCGCAACTGTCATTCCCTCGGTCATTGCTCCTGTGCCCCCACCGCTGGAGGCTGACTTCCCCCAGCCCTGGCTCTGTACCGCTTCAGGCCTTGGTGTCCTTTCTGCAAGGACTCAGGCACAACGTCATCTGTGGGTACTTTGACCGTGGTCACATAGGCCTGTAGCACATGGGCCAAAGGAAAAGAAAAAACCACAGCTACGGCCGTCCTGAGTGATGGTTTGTATTTCTTTTTTAAAAAATACTAATCCCAGAGGTGCGCGGTTTGAATCTTCCAGATGCTCTGCTTGAGAAGGAGGGACAATCTCCACCTGTACTAGTCAGATCTGATTTGACCACACACACACACACACACACACACACACCCTGATAAAAATAAAAAAAATTCTAGATATTGTGAGTTGGTCCTTAAAGATTCTTAATATCTCCTCCAGGAAGCCCTCCCACCACCACATTGGTATGTATGAATTTTCTGGGTTTTTTAAAGTGGTTGACTTTTTGTTTTTTCATTTTGACTCCTTTCTCCCCACCACTGTTAACCCTTCTAGATTGAGTCTGGGTAAACCTTTTCTTTCCTTTTCATAATAGTGGCCCGATGCGTGGCATTGTTTTCCTTTTGCAATGACTTACTAAATTTTTAGTTTTAAATAATTTAAGAAATTACAAAAGTAGCATGAAGAATTCTCATGTGCTCTGCTTTGACTCATCATGACTCCCTTAGTTTCCTTTAATCTGGAACCTTTCCCCCACCATTCTCTGTTTTTCAAGGCCTCAGAACTCTTTGAAGAATGCTCTGCAGTTGTCTGTGGAATTTATCTGATTAAATTCAGGTTATGAATATTGGTAGGAGTACCACAGAAGGGATGCTATGTCTTGCTATAGTTTCTGTTTTGAACTTTTTTTTTTCTTTGAAATGATTAGAGAGTCACAAGAAGTTACAAAGACAATAGAGAGAGATAGTAGGTGCCCCTCACCAGGTTTCCTCACGGATATCTTATATAACGTGTGTTTTAATGTAAAGGCAGCATGCACTCTTTGACCATCATTGACCTTTTCTACAACATGCCAGAGTAAACTAGTAACCGGACTAGTACTGATTTTTTCCCCCTACAATACTTACAGTCCAGTTGTTGTTGTTAGGCATGTTGAGTTGTTCTTCCTTTCGTCTGTTCTAAGTCAGTGTTCATTATCTATCCACTCTTGTCCCATCCTCTCCCCAACTCCTTCATGTCTGTCTGATTTTATAAAAGTGCTGGTATGCAGTGTTTGCCCTTTTGTGACTGAGATATTTCACCCAGCATAATCTCCTCGAGGCTCCCTCATGTTATGTAATATTTTACAAGTTCATTGTTTTTTCAGTGCTGTATAGTAATCCATTGTGTGAATGTACAATGGTTTTTCTATCCATTCATTTGTTGATGGGCACTTGGTTGCTTCCATCTCTTTGTTCTTGTGAAAAACACAGCAATAAACATGGGTGTGCATACATCTGTTTGAGTTATGGGTCAAATGATAGTTCTATTTCCAACTTTTTGAGAAAATGCTAAACTGCCTTCCATAGTGGCTATACCACTTTATGTTCCCACCAGCAGTGAATAAGAGTTCTAATCTCTCCACAGCCTCACCAGCATTTGTTGTTTGCTGCCCTATTGAACTTGGCTGTTGCTGCTGGATTCAGTTAATTTTTAAGATTTCTAAAAATGTATAGCTACTCGTCTGCTCTAAAGAATGCAGATGGTTTTTGTATTTTGCATACATTTACATAGGTCATTTTATAGTAATGACTATTCATACACAGGTATTGTGTAACCACAGTGACTCCCAAGGTAAATGTACTATTTTTTTGGTTAATATGTACTGATAGGAAATGGAATATTGCTGCTCAAGGTACCTGTGAGACTTTTTGCCTCAGAAACCCTGTGCTAGAGAGGGCTTGTCCTCGCTCTCTATTCTTCATGCCTGTTATGGGATAGGGACAGGTGAAGATGGGCTCTTATACATTAGCTTTGGTGGCCTAGTGGCAAGAAGCTGTGCTGCAATCCCAAAGGCATGCGGTTCGAGGCCACCAGCTGCTCTGAGAGAGAAGGATGAGCAGTCTCCTCTCATGCGATTAACGGCTTCTGAAAACCCACTGGAGGGTTTTCCACTCCGGATTGGTTCCAACTCTACGGTACACAACAACAACAGTGCCATTCAGTAAAGGAGTGAACAGTTTAGTTTCCCTGAGCTTTAAAAAAAAAGTTATTTATCACTAGTGTCTTATTCTTTGGTGGCTTTGTCCCCTACATTTTGTTTTAAAGTATTTCTTAGATCCTGTTATCTAATGTCCTGTAAAAGGAGCTCTAGTGGCCTGGTGGGGAAGGAGTTGTCCTGTCAACCCAAAGGTATGCAGAACCCACCAGCTGCTCTGGTGGAAAATGATGAGCAAATTCCCTGAGCAAATTTACAGCCTCTGAAAACCCTCTGGAGGGTCAGCTGTGAGTCAGTTCCAAGAGACGGTAATGACCGCAACAGTATCCTTAAAAGGTGATTCTTAGGGGAGCTCTGGTGGCCTAGTGGCAAGAAGCTGCACTGCAATCCCAGAGGTGCACGGTTTGAATCCACCAGATGCTCTGCCGCATAAGGAGGGACAATCTCTTCCTGTACACACACACAAAATAATAAAATTAAAAAAAAGATTTAAGAAAAATAGGTGATTCTTCTCTTCAGTCACTTAGACACATGACTTAAGGGTCTTAAAAATAATAAACATTATAAAATAAATAGATATGAGGAAAGGGCGTAGAAGAAGATGGCTGAATTGTAGACGTAGTGTTACCAGGGAGTGAAGGGACCTGAATTCTGGCTGATAACTCGTGTGTTATTACAGAAGGAGGACCCCGCACAGTTCATCTGCCAAGGAGCTGTTCTGCTTTGAAATTGTAACCACAGGCTCTCAGGTCTTACTCACTTAGCTCATGGATTATTCATTCCTTTCTTTTTTCTTTTTTTCCCCCCCTTTCTTCTTTTCTCCCAACAGCTGATGACAGTTCGGACTATTACAGGGAATATCTACTATGCCAGATCAGGTACGAAGATTGTTGGGAAAGTTCATGAAAAGTTCACATTGATTGATGGCATCCGAGTGGTAACTGGGTCTTACAGGTGAGTTTCTAGCACATCTGTTGGGTGCGTACTAATAAAAATTCTTTAGCAGACTCAAACTATGAAAAGCTAATAGTTTATTTTTCAAATAAATTTTAATGAAAGTTTACAGAGACTTAGGGTTTCCAGTCATTCATTGTTGCACTGTTCTCTCTCCCTCCTCCCCCCAATTCACTATTCTCCTTGAAAAGAAAAACCCTTTCATTGTTATGCAGTCCTTCCCCCCAAGTCCACTCCACTATGCAGGCTTCACTCTGGACTCCTGTAATGACAAGAATACCCATTCATAGGTCCCTTTTAAACAGTTCTCTCCCTCATCTGTTTCAGTGCAATATACATTATTCCTCCCCTCCTTTTCTGTCTTCCCTCAACCCTGATGTCAGTCCCCTTTTACAACAGTGGCCCTATGCAGTAGTTTTCCTTTTGTGACTGAGATATTTCACTCAGCATAATGTCCTCTAGGGTCATTGATTTTGCATATTGCATGAGTTCCTTGTGTTTCAATGCAGCATAGTATTCCATTGTGTGAATATACCACAGCTTCTCTATCCATTCGTTTGTGGATGGGTAATAGCTTATTTTTGCTTCTCTCAGTGAGATCCTTTCAGTCTAAGCATCCCTAACTGTATGGGTTGATTAATCAAAGCATCCTTCAGTAGGAAGTGATCAGGGAGGGGTAAGAGACCCTTCCCCTTCCCTGGCATCTACCAGACTGAGGTGCTGAGATGGAAAATTGCCTGAAGGCCCCACAATACATGAGTCCTGGGTTTAAACCTTGGCCCAGGTCTCATAGCAGGCCTAATTCAGTGTTAATAATGGCAAGTACTTTAGTGAATTCCAGTCTCTTGGGAATTTTTTACCCCACTTTCCCTTGTTTATTGAAGGTAAGGAAATAACCTGATAATCAAAAGAAGATAAACACATTTACTATCAAAGCAAACCTGGGCTGAGCCAGGCTAGCACTCCCTCCCTCTGGTTGTGGACGCCTCTTGAGTCAGGTCCAAGGTTGTTTGGGGCACAGGAGGTTGGGTGCGAAGCTGAGGATGTCACAGGATTGGGAAGGGCTTCACTCTTTTGTATGTAGGGTTGCCGTGAGTCAGGGTCACTTTGAGGGCACCCACACGGAAGACTGTCCTGGGGGACGGAGAGTCAGGACGTTCTGCTCCATTGGCGGATGTCACCTTTAGACATAAATCTTTCCTTTGCTGCTTCCAGCCTTGTAAATTGGCACTTTAGTCTAGAAAATACCATCCATGTTTCCTATCCGCCTTTGAAGTCTCACTCTGGCAAAGGCATCTCCGGTCGAGAGCACTGGGAGGTTGAATGGAGGGTGGGGATAATAAGTGGTTAACACTAATCTTCACAAGGTAACTGAGCCATTTTTACTTATGTGAATCTCTATGGTGTTTGGCCACCTCTACATTAGCTTGTCTGGTGGTGTATATGAGGTGTGTCTGTAGAGTTAAAAAAAAAACACACAAAAAAAACAACACCAAAACAAACGAACCCCACATTTTTAAAGAAACACGCATTCCAGAGTGATAATTATGTGTCGGCACTGGGTAAAGGTGGGGATGCGAGGGTTTGTGAAAGACGAGGCACTGAGCTTATGAAACTCTGGATGCCTTTCTTTTCAAACGATACTGGCATTGCTCCGAACGAAATTCCAGCTCTCTCTTGTGACTTACTTTCATAAGATGTTTACAAATAACAGGAAGAAACTAAGTTTTTTGTTTTTTGTTTTTTTTACCCAGGTCTGGGCTTATCTATATGGGTCAAACTAAGCTCCATTTGCTTTTTGAAGATTCTGTAAAAACTGCTCTCTATAATGATGTTTTAGGACCTCTGGTGATGACAATGCTTCCATCTCTTAGGGATTATAAAATCCAGTTACTGGGTAAAGACTCTGTCTCCATTATCATTGAAGGTTCTCAAAAGAATGTTCCTTCTTAAGCTTTGAAGGTAGTTCTCCAAAGTGGGATTTGCACCAGTTGAGATTTCTTATTTGCAAGAGAAAAAGTTGTTACTGTGTTTTACAATTGTTTTAAAGTATCTTGGTAACAATTTCTGTTTCAGTGGGGTGAGTGCAAATGCCAAAAGGCTAATTCATCCATAGCTGCCCCTTAAGTGGGTTTCAGAGGCAGTAAATCGCACGTGAGGAGGTTGCCCATCCTTCTCCCTCGGAGCAGCTGGTGGATTCGAACCTCACGCCTTTGGGTTAGTAGCACAGCTCCTTTCCACCCAGCCACCAGAGCTGCCTTAACTCAAGCTGCTTTGTGCAAAATGGAATGTACTGACTCACATAACCTGGAAGTGTGGAAAGGTATGATTGGTTTCCAACTCACCTTAATCTTGAGGTGGTACATTTATCAGAATCCCGTTTTGGGTTCTGCATTCCTCTGCCTGGTCAGCAAGTTCACCCTTTGAAAGCCGAGATCCAGGCTTATGTGGCCTGTGGAGCTAATTCCAAAAGCGAGACTCTCGCCGTCTCCTCATTGGTGTCAGTCTCTGGAAGCATAGTTGGCTCTGGTCGGTTCACACACCTGTCCCGGGTGAAGAGTCACATCCAGGGATATAAGCTGCTCTGATAACCTGGGCTGCACACCCGCCTCTGTTGTAAGTGGACAGGTGTCAAGGGGAACCCCTTCTTAAGAAGGAGTAAGCGTGGGTTATTACCAGAAGGAGGAGAAGGGATATTAAACAAGCAGGGAGGGATGGCCAGTCTTGAGCTGCACAAGTGTCTTGTGCAAAGGCCTCCTTGTTAGATTAGTGGTCCTGGCTCCTTCTGTGAAAACGGCAACCCTGAAAGAGTCAGCAAGGAACCCTGGACAAGCAGTTCAGTCCTAAGAATGGGAGCCATGTATATGCACACCCATGTTTATTGCAGCTTTGTTTACAATAGCAAAGAGTTGGAAGCAGCCTAAGGGCCCATCAACAAACGAATGGATAGACAAGCTGTGGTATATCCACACAATGGAATACTATGCAGCATTGAAAAACAAGGAACTCATGCAATATTATTCAAAGTGGGTGACCCTGGAGGACATTATGCTGAGTGAAAAATCTCAGTCACAGAGGGACAGATACTGCATGGTGCCACTGTTGTAGAATGGGTCTGACATCAGGGTGGGGGTATGACAGAAAAACTGGATCAATTATGTATATTGTATTGAAACAGATGAGGGAAAGAACAGATTAGAAGTGATATATGATTGAGTATTATGGTTAGCACAAGAATCCAGAATTAAGGTTGCATAGAGAAGTGTACTTGGGGTGGGGGGTGGGGGGAAGGGACGTGGGAATTATATACTAATGAAGGAATTTTTTTTATTTTTTTTCTCTCTTCGGAGGGGGAAGCGAGCTGGTGGGGAGGGGTGGGAAGGGAGAAAATTGTGGCAGTGAATGAATGGAAATCCAAAACCTCTGTAAAATAAAACAAAAGAAGAAGAATGGGAGCCATGGGTCTCCCACAGCTTCCCAAGTGATGTCACCAGCCTGCCGCTTTTCTGGACTAACGTTCTACTTTGTGAAAATTCTGAGGCTAAGTATATATAGGTATTTCCGTATGTGTTAAGTGTCGAACAGCTGGCCTTTCTTACTTTTCTGTTAACACAAATACTATATATACACATGTTAGGGCTGTTCAGTTCACAGCCAAATGGTGGGTATATCATCAGTTTTGACAATCTGGGTTTTGTTTTATTCATTAACAATAAGAAGACCAAAATCACTCATCCTTACCAGTTTCTGTCTTTGTTTTGTCTCACCCCTTAAGTTTTACATGGACAGATGGCAAATTAAATAGCAGTAATGTGGTAATCCTCTCGGGCCAAGTGGTCGAACACTTTGATCTGGAGTTCCGCATCCTGTACGCGCAGTCAAAGCCCATCAACCCCAAACTCCTGTCCAGCTTCCGGATCAGTGGCAAGTTTGACCATCTGGTTGACTGGAAGCCGCCGTCCAAGGAGCTCACACTGGGTAACCTGCTGCGGCTGCGGCTGGCCCGACTCTCCAGTACCCCCAAGAAACCTGACCTGGACCCAGAGGCTCCCCGGGAGGGCAGGGTGGAGGCCAGGCGCCACGACTCGGTGTCCTCCACCATCAGTGAGGGAGACTACCTGCACAGCCACAAGGATGAGCTGGAGAGCAGGAGGCCAGCCGATGTCGCCACCCAGACGGAGCCAGGAGAAGAGAAGCCAGCGGTGCGTGTGAGCGACACGGGCACACAAACCAGGATCAGCACTCTGTGCACTGGGACCCAAACCACAGTCCCCACCAGAGCCGCCAGCTCGCAGACCACGATGTGGTCCAAGTCCACCGCCACGCAGACCGACTCGGATGAGAATATGCTCTTCTCCCAAGGAGCTCCATTTAAAGAGGGGTCACCGGTATCCAAAATGTCTGTGTCGGCATCTTCCAGCCTGAGGTCTTCCTCGTCTTTGTCCTCCCAAGGCTCGGTGGCAAGCTCCAGTGGCTCCCAAACCTCCATGAGAGCCACTGATTTCCACAACCACGGGTACCCGAAGTACCTGAGCACCCCTCACTTAGATATGTACTTGGGAGACTCCTTTAGAAACTTGAACAAAGAGAGGCAGGTTCACTTTGCGGGGCTCCGGTCCCGGCTCAACCACATGTTGGCCATGCTCTCAAGGAGAACATTCTTCATGGAAAACTACCTTGGCTCAAATGCAGGCAATTTTAACAGAGCACCGGTTAATTTGCTCGCCATCAGAGATATAGCGCTCTATCCTTCCTATCAGTGACTGCCCAGTGAGCAGAGACTCTAATTTCAGGGAGGCTCACGCCGGTAGCCATGAGCGCTTCCTGCTGTGAAAAAAATGTCTCCTGTCCCCAGAGGCTTTTCTTTTTCACTCTGAAGTCACTCTCATCTTCAGCTCTCCTGGCTTTCATGTAATTCCAACAACTATATATTATTTTAGTGTATTTTATTTTTGTTATGTCTGAATCAGGTACTAGACTCCCTGGTGTGGTATAAATACCACACCGTCATTAATGTGTTCAGAAGCCATCCTAGAGGTTGGAGGCTCAGATCTATCCAGAAGTGCCTTGGAAGAAAGGGCTGGCAATCTCCTCCCTACAAATCAGATCTTGAAAATCCTAAGGAGCCCAGTGTTACTCTGATCTTATGGAATTGAGATGAGTCAAAGTTGACTCAACAGCAACTGGGTGTTTTTGTTGGTGTTGTTCGGGGTTTTTTTAAGAAACCAGATGTTGGTTTTACAGTTTAAACACTATAGTTTTTTTTTTCTTTCATTTTTGCACAATTTCAATATTGCTATTTCTGAAGGAGAATGCTTAAGAAGTGTTCGAAGATTACTCAGAAAGGGGATTATGCTTTGCATGTCTCAATGTGCTCTTCTGTTTGAGAGGTTTGAATCACTACTTTTAAAAAAAAGGTCAAAATTCTCTTTAAAAAAATCTGTTTCCTTGTTGTTTTTCTCTCTTTTAAGATAATATATGTTGAAAACGCCAAATAAATACTTTCATGGATAACTTTTGTTTAGATAATCTTTTTTTTTTCCCCTCTCGGCATTTTTCTCTTTAGTGTTATGGCTAGGTCACAGATAAATGTAAAAATGTATGCTGTTTTTTAGAGAGTTAGGGAAGGAGAAGAAGTCAACAATTCAAACTGTAAGAGAAGAGCCACTTCCTAGTCAAAAGATGTACAGCAAGCCTCAGGCTCGTATCTTCCTCAGCGATACGAGTATTAATGTTACTATTGCCATCCTGTGGGGCCCCAACAGCGCACTCTGGTTTTCCTTTTCTTTAATTCCAAGGCCCTTCGCTTCCTGCCTCCTTGCTGCAGGAAGCCTCATGGTATATTCTTAGATTCATTCCCGATATTCACCAGAGTGGCCTCTTGGGCCTCATTTCATCAGATGGGTGTATTGACGATTTAGCAACCTAATATCCTGGAGGAGGAGCAAAGGAGGACACTGACAATTATCCCAGATTCCTCGCCAAGTGTACGCAATGTAACTGGTTTCTACACCCTGCTAATCAGGACGGGGATGGCTGTGGAATCCTGTTTTATTTTGTCCAGTCTAATTCACATGAATGGACAAAAAGAAGAGTATGAAGTGACGGCTTCCTCTTTCTCTTCACTTGGCGGGAGCAAGAAACCTGTAACAGGTGAGGGTGTGGTCCACACAGAGACTGAAGCAGCCAGCTCAGGAGCCCCGGAGCTCCTTAGAGGTTTCCATCCCTGCACCAGGACTCCTTCAGGATCACTGTTCTTTGCCTGGTTAATGCCATTCCCTGTGGCTCAAATGCAGGCATAACGAACTGGCCCCTGCCAGGTTGTAAGCCACCTGCACACAGAATAAACAGTATGATTTGCAACCATTTTCTCTAATTAGATCATTTTCGTCTGTCTTTGCTTCCCACAACAACGTCATGAATGGAATGCCAGTTAGATTAGATACTATTGTTCCCACTTTTCAGATGAGACTAAACTTAGATTAAATACTATATCTTGGTTATTGCATGCTCAGAAATAGTGACTCAAAAGACTTAAACACATTTTTGAATCCTAAATACAATTCTATTTTGTGACAATGTCTCTTCATGGAGTGTGGGGATGTTAGAAGATGAACTTGGAAAAATGCTGGTTAATGCAACAAGTGTTAACTGAAAACAAGAATTTAACCTCAACACACTAGGTGCAAAACTCTATAAACTTTAGTGATAGGGTATTTTGACTTGAAATCTTTACTTGATATGTTCCTCAGAGCTGCTAACTGGTATTACATAAAAAAGGTACTGTGTGCAGTTTGCAAAACACAGCATCACATCTATTTAAACAGGGCTCTTTACTGCAGGACTGCTAGACCCTGGAAGGAGGGACCAATCACAGTGACAAGAAAAAAAAAATCAGGGAACTGTAAATTAAAATTGACATGGGCTCTGTGGCTCAATTTACTGCCAAACAACAGAATTATAAGGGAAATAATACCACCAGGCTGGTTGTACTCCCTGGAGCAGTCGGCTCTATGAGATCAGAGGGCAGCACTTGAAGGATAAAGTGCAGAAAGGGACAGGAAAGAGGTCCAGACGGAAACAGCAAGTGGGAAGAGTGGCAGACATCATGGGGGTTGTTCAAGTTCAAGAAACAAAATGTGTGTGAAGTGTTGAGTGGGAAACTGATTTGCTCTTTATGCTTCTATCCAGATCATAATGAAAAGTTACCTTTTTTTTTTTTTAGGTTACATGGGGTACAAAACACATCAGGCACAAGGGTACAAATACACATCTTTGCTGACTTTGATATTACTAGACCATCCATTTAAGCTTTCCGGCTGCCAAAACAGACACTTGCATTATATGTGTGACAGAAATCTGGAACAGGGGGTACACTGCAGAGAGGGGTGGGGGAAAGGGTAGAAAATATTCAGCAAAAAAAATTTTTTTAAAGCAACAGACACCTGCTCAGCTAATAATACAATATCGATTAAAAACAAATTGAGAGGAACAATTGTACTAAGATCAGGTAAGGATTTTTCACAAAGTGCCTCTCAAAAAAATGGTTCAGTGGAGTGCTTTGATGATAACATCCTGATAATTGCCATGAAGGTATGCTGTAAGTGCTGACACTGGGCTCTACAAAGGCAATTGGTCAAAGCCATAAAGAAGTTCGTTGAATGTATTCGGATGTAGACTCCTATTCCATGCTGTCAAGTTGACACTGACTCGTTAGCTGACCCTCCACTGGGTTTTCCAGGCTCTCCATGACTTAGGAGGAGATTGCCCCTCCCTCAAAGCCTTTAGGGGATTTGAACAGCCAGGGTAGTGCGACCTTTAGGGTAGTAGCCTAACTTCCTACCACCGCTTCCTACATGTACTCTTCTTGTGTACGTTTGAGTTGGAACCATCGCATAGCTGACTCCTCCAGTGGGTTTTCAGAACCAGTAAATCACATGAGAGGAGATTGTGCATCCTTCTTCCACAGAGTACCTCGTGGATTCAAACCATGTCTCTTTAGGATTGCAGTGCAGGTTCTTAGCACTAGGTCACCAGAGCTCAGATGCAGTCAAGGAGCATAGAACGTGTTACTTACGTTGTGCATGTTGTTGGGCTACATTTCACTGGTGCCATGCATCTATTAACACGCCCCAGTTTGCCTGAAAGGGCCCCCTCGTTTATGCCTGTTATCACCAAACTCTATCTGGTTAATACCCTTTGCACTCTTACAAGGACATGGTCATCCTTTCTAGAAAGCACCTCAAAACCTAGAATTTCCTCAACAGTCTGCATGGTCCTCGGGTCAACATGCTAAAAGTTTCTCTGGTTGCTGAATCTTTCTTTTAGTGGATCTTTCTGCACCTCTGCCCACATTCTTAAAGCTAAGCAAATACTTTTTGCTTATGTTCTACTACATGTGTGAACTTGATCATCGTGTGCAAGCCAACAAACAGATGTTTTATTTGTTATAACAAGTTGCAAAGTGCTGCATCTTTGACTCAGAGCAAAATTCAAGTATAGTGCAATTCCTCAAACATCTGCAATTACATAAATAACTAAAAAGCCAACGGTGCTCTGGAAGTTTGTAATGAACATTTGTTGTTTCTGCTGTATTCATTCACTCACTCACCCTTCAATAATCTTACACAGATTTCCCTCTGCAGAACCACCTTGTTTCCACATTTCTGTCCATGTTCTTTGATGAAACTGTTTCTACCTCTGATTCTGGAATCAGTGATTAATTTATGGAGGCAATGGTGGTCCAGTGTTATAGAATTCTCACCTTCTCTCTACCTGGTCCGATTTCCAGCCAAAGGTTTCATCCAGCATTTCATTCTATTATAGTTGGGGGTCTCCATGAATGGGGGTTGACTAAACAAGTGGCTGATTTATGTGGGGTTCATGGCAAATCAGATCCTTTCACCAAGGATTTTTTTCCCCCTTGAGCTTTGATGCTGATGTGATGGTTAGAGCTGACATGGCCACCTTGTTACATGTGACACTGGTATCAGGGTAAGGCAAAATGATATGATCAAAACCAAGTTCTGATTATATCCTAAGTGCAGATACAGGTGAGTCTCAATCCATAAATCTTCTCTTGGACTTTTTAGTTCCTGTGAGCCTGTTTTGCTTAAGTGGCTTGGGTATGCAACTGGACAAAGATAAAAATATTTAACACCTTTGCCTCCTAAGACATGGCTAAAATGGCTCAGTTTGGGAACATTTCAAAGCAGAAAGTACCGGTTACCTATATAAGGCACAGACAACTTTGATAACAAATCCAGAAAACTTGATTTTGAGGAACATTCTCTTTCTGGGGAGCCTAGAAAATTACCTCTTGGTAACGAACTGATGGAACACTTATGGAATTGTTGGTAATAAATGAAATAAATGGAAGCTGTCATCTCAAGAAATAATGGTTTTAATTCTAAGAGCAGTTATTTTGGGCCATTCTTTCAGAAAATAGTTCATTAGGAAGAACAATGAAATCACACCACCAATATCTAGGTTACTGCTTATGTGTTTACTTGGGGAAAAAAGTTTAGTGTCAGCAAAAGAACTTTTTGGCAGAGCACATCTGAGAACTTTGCAGGTTGACAAACTATTTCTCATTTCGGAGAGCTGAGTGCTAACAGTTTTAAGTGGCCTGCATGGTTAGAAAATCATGTGGCCTGGGAATTAAAAGTTCGTTCTAGTTTCCGCTCTGATGCTACGTTAGTTCACGAATTCCTTTAAACGTCCTCTTTGGTCATTGTCCAGCTCTCCGATGTATAACAGATAA